TGATTATTTGACCACCTTACTTCTATTAATTGATTTTTTTTTATTTGATATTAGGTTTTGAAAAATAATCAGGAAATTAGTAATTAATGCTAAAAAAAAATATGAAAAAATTAATCATCTTCTTTTCTATTTAAAAAGTGATAAGTAAAAATAAAAATTATTTTTTTTGATAGTAGACAAGTAAAAATATAAAAATAAAATATTTAGTGTGTTACGCATTTGTTTATATAAAAAGAAAAAATCACTTAATATTAATTTAAATTCAAAATTTTAATTTTTGTTGCTGGTTCTTCATCTTCATTTTTATAACTTTTTGGGGGTGTAATTGTTATGATATTCCTTTTTAAATAATTTGTAGCAATACAACATTAAGGTTTAAAGATTGAATAAAAGGGAAATAGATAGGAAATGACATTATTGAATTACTATTGTTAAAAAAAAAAAGTTACTATTGTGAATACATTTTTTTCCAATTGATCTTTGAATGGTTCTCAACATGTTAACGAGCTTGACAAATCACTTTTCTTTTTCTCAATTTTCCTACTTTAATAAAAATAAATAAATGAATAAAAACATTCTTTCCAAACCATTCACAAGATGAACGTTACATTTCTTTTGTTCAACTTTTGACTTCTTGGAGTTGTTTGTGTAAGTTACCTTTAAATGCAATATAAATTTTGACTAATATTCTATTTTTTTCATTTTATTGATATGAAATCTTTGCAATTTATAATATAGTTTTTAAATTTATTTTTTTTGTATTTTAAAATATCAAATTAATGTAATCTATTTTAGTTTTAAAAATTAATCAAGTTGACTCTCGAAGAAAAGTGTAACATGACATTTTTTTTTTAGAGAGAGTATTAATTTTGTTAGAAGTCCTTTGGTTCTTTTTATAGAACATTTATTATTTTCCTTTTTTTTTTTCTGGTTAGCAAAAGAAGTAAATTATTGAATGAACTTGCTGATTAGGTTCTTTAATTATTGAAGATTATAGTAGGCCCAATTAATAAAGAATCTGATCAGACTCAGTTTCGTTTTTTATACAACTAATACTCTACTAATTTAGGGAACAAGATTTTCTTCTTATGTTTGACATCTAGCCCCTAAATATTTATTTTAATTTCTTATTTGGTATTTAAGTTTGAGCTCGATTTAATTCAGATAGCGCAATTATTTATGGGGTGACACTTTCAACATAATTTTTTTCATATTTAGAACTCAAATCAAAGCTCTAATTAAGATTGAAACAATTATATCAATGGCATGTTAGTACATTTAGCACCTAGATATGCAATCATTAAATCTTTGTTTAAGAACTTCATTATATATGTAGAGTTGCATTGAAGTAGTATATTTGATCAATTTATGTAGAGACATAGATAATTAAAATCATTTGAGAAGGGCAAGTCCCTATCTATCTTGATAATTTTGTCAATTGCGTGCGACATCAATCTTGACAAACAAAGTGTAAACCAAAATGTGATATACACGGAAATTGTTGGGGTGATGGAACTTACATAACATTTGCTAGCATTGGATCCACATCATAAACCATCATTGATGTAAAGTTGTTAACCAATGGGATGACCCGTTTTCAATAAATACCAAATATTAAATGCACTATTTCAAAAGTGTCATGGGTCAATAATTTTTTTATTATTGTGGTATTCAGGTTACCTTGATTAATTTTATGGGATATCTGTCACCTCCCATCAAGGACAGGTAACTCAGTCTATCAATAGGCTAGGACATATGTGAATAATCATCTAGTGTTTTTTGTCTCCTCTGAAATTCGAACCTAAGACCTCACGACTCTCAACCACTTTGTTGATCACTAGGTCTCAACCACTTTATAGAACCCGTCAATATAAATCTTAATTCTGCCCAGACCCCATGCATTTTGGAGAAAAGAAGTCTGAGACGAAAGAGTATTGTTTGCAATATTTTTAAAGTGACAAAAAATAAATTGCAATCACAAATAAAATATGAAGAAATATAACTTTATTAATAAATATTTAGGTACAGTTCTGTTCTTCCCTTGATTCTTCTCTCATAAGATTTATCTATGATTCGAGGGTCATTAATGACGTATTTCTCAAACTAGGATAATTGATTTTGATCTGTCTATGAATATTTCATGAATTTGCAGAACATTCGAAATACCTCTTTAAGAAAATATAATAACCTTTATATAGACACACGCTAGGGTTTATGGTTAGAGTAGCCTCCAAGAATTCTAACTGAAATCAAATACATCTTGTAGAGTTCCAACTAGAATTGAACACGTCTTGAAGAGTTCCACAAATTTTCAATATCTACAAGTATTTCTAACATGTGTAGTATATCGGTTTATAGCAAATTTATGTATAACTACGTCAACTCATGATTCCTCCGTAAAACTAGATATTTTATATATATATATATATATTATTTTTCTTAATTTTTTTTTGCTATAATAAATTTGTTGACATCGTGTTACAAGAAGGCTCAATGGTGCACAAAATTAATTGTATATATATTGAATTATTTACCTAAAACACTAAGGATTAGTTATCACTTAATACATATTTTTCCTTTCTTATTTTAGTGATCCTCTTATATTCTAAAAATTCTAGATTTACCTCGATATCGTGTATAATTGGGTGGCAGAAGAAGTAAGAAGTTGGCAAGTATGCATGTGAAGTGGGCATGAATGTCAACGAACGATAGTTTTGGGCTTGCTGTTGTTACGCGGTCACAGCTATATTACAGTTTCTTAACGTCAATACTCAATATTAATTATATTCTAGTCTAGGATTTATACAATGCCAATTTGTCTTCCTAAATTGAGTTTATTTTTAATATTAATAAAAGATAGTCAAACAAAGATGTAGCATTTGTCACGCATTCTATATAATACAGTACCAATAATATGATTTGAATGTTTCTACTCACCCAAAAACTAACATGTGTGTGAAGAGACCAAATTTTGCCAAAGGTGGTTTACGGTCACTTGTCTAATTGCTTTTGGGGTCAAAGTGGGGTTGGCCTAAATCCATAATGTTTTCACACTCTTAAAATGGAAATTGAATACAAGATCATTTTGTTTTTCGGGTTTTCCGTGGAATAGTATTTATATTGGAGTCTGACATCAAATTTTTATAAAATATTTATTTATTTATTTTTAATCATGTAATTTTAAATTAAAAATGTATTATATGTAGTAAAATGTTTATGTGAAAAGTTGAAATTTAAAACTTACAACAAGGAATGGAAAATCATTTTATTTAAACAGATTAAAAAGGAAAGTAATTTAATCAAGAGGATTTGAGTTTTGGAAGTTTTGTAAGAGATGATTTTGTGTGAAACCGACCAATCTCATGCTGGACTAAAATTTTATTTAGCTCATAATTGCGCTAAATTTATGTCATGCTACCTACTTTAGGTATATAAGTTATGGGCCCTAGGGCTGATTAAATTTATTCTAAGACATTTTTGCTAAAGTAATCAATCATATGTGCTACTCTTTTCTACGAATGAAAGCGACACCATTATCTTTTTATTTTTGTACATTTAATAACATCATATTATAGTAATACAAAATAATGTCATGATATATTTTAAATTATAAACTTTAAAAGTTTTTTTTTCCCCATAAGATTCTTATTGAATCAAACAACAAAATTTGTACTTAAATGGTGTACATCATTTGTGTTCATAACCTCAAGAGGAAAGACTATTGGTGACATTTTTTGAATGGATATTTTTTCTATTTTGTTGGTTAGATTTTTTACAAAATTGAGTGAAGTAAGAAATAATATTATTAAAGAAATGTCACTTTCTTCCATATTTAAACTTTGAATATATTTTGAAATGTTTTAATGATATCTGGTCATTTTGATCTCAAAATACAAGTAACTCTATGACAATATATATTAATAGTTTAAAAACACTTGTTCTATGTTCGTTCAATTATGATTATTTAATAAAAAACTTTAATCTAATAATAATAATTATATTTTACAACATCATATACTATATATACGATACACACATGCAACGCACGTATCGTGAAACTAGTATGTCATCTAAATAAGAAGGATGGAGTAGTTTTTTTTATGTCATCATATAAATAAGAAGGATAGAGCAATTCTTTTTTTTTTTTGTTTTTTTGGTTTCACATATGATGTTTACTTTTGGAGTAAGATTAAATTTGGTATCAGTCCGAAAAGTCTCACATTAAAGATAAAACACTTCTTAACAAAGACGATTTCGTAATTAGAAAGATTCGAGCTCGAGACGGTTAAGGCTTAAACAATATTCCCTCCACGCTCATATTAGTTGATCACTTTCTGTTTTACATGGTTTTAAGAAATTATAAATAAAATGATCTATTTTTACTAATTTATCCTTTATTGATATTGATGGTTATTTAGATAACTTATGAAAAATATGTTTAATATTCATAGGGGATATGAATAGATACAAAGTAATTGATGAAATTTTGGGGAAAAAAAAGAAAAAAATTAAAACTTCTAAATTTTTTCAAGCTTCCAAAGAGTATTTAATTGTAGGGATTTTAATTATAGCTTAATTTAATAAATGGATAAGTAATTTGTGACATAGTATATAGTTAGTAAGATGATCAAGTGATTAGAGTACCTAGCTATAACAATTATAGTGCAATTAAAAGAATGTTGTCCATATATATAAGCAAGTACATTAAAGGCTGATAGAATTGCAATAGGTCTCTCCTTAACACATTATATTGTAGTTTTAATCAAAGCGTAAACGGCTAACCACCATTGTTCTGAGTTTACAGCCATAGCATGATTGTTTAGTAGACGTTCAAATTGACGAAGTTTATTTATCAATAAATATTAGTTGTTCTTATATTCTCGTGGTTACTATTTTAATGCTTAACTATCATTAAAATAAATGGATAATCTCTTTGTGAAATCAAACGACGAATGGATAAGTCGGTGCTAACTCGTGTCACAGAACATACTGAAGCCATATTTGTAGTCCATATGAACAGACTCGGACCTCTTTTAATGGGAACAATAAATATTTACATTGTTAAGTATTCATTTCCACATTCCATTGAAACCAAAAGTATATTGGTACAACATTTCCTGTCCATTTTAAATAAAAGAAAAATATCACATTTTGATTTGGCACTTCTGTAACTTCTTTGGGAAGAGGATATATTGATAATCAAAATGCCATACTTTCAGCAAACTAGTTTGGCCCAGTACAAAGCTCTTTGCTTCACAAACAGAGGAACCAACATCATTGCCTCTTCAATATGAATGCCGAATAACTTCACAGATAGCAATTCCATCGTTTCTTCAGCTCAAGTAAGAGATTTGCCAGCCCATTCTCTTTCTCGTCGCTTTTGCTTTGCCATCATTTTATTGAACTTCTCTTTCCCTTTCTCCAACAAAGGATCGTGTACCACGTAATCATTGGGGTCCTCACTACGAGACATTTTGTCCTGCCGATAGACCCAATAATTTAAAAAGGAACAAAGAACATAATAAGCATGAATGTTTCTGTGATTAACATTTTATATTTTAAGTGAAAAAGTTTCATTCCTATTAAATTCCCACTGACCCTCCCCCCCAC